TCTCTCTCTCTCTCTCTCTCTCTCTCTCTCTCTCTCTCTCTCCTTCCCCTCACTCCCCCTACCCCTCTCCCTCTCCCTGTCTCCTTAAAGTTAAAATCCTTTTTTAGTAAACCCCAATTCTGCTTCAAACTAAATTTGCTTTCTTAAAGAATCTGTGCTTCCCTTGAGCCTAGTTCTCAGAAAAGAACTTCTCAGGCTGTCACAGGCAGCTTTGTGGAGCTGTGTCTCCAGCCACCACCACCCTGGACCATCTCCTTGAAGGGAACCTTAGGTACTGTGGCCCTGTCTCTGGTGTCTTTAGGTGGTAGGAGCCTAACTTTAGAGAAGGCCTGCCTACACGCTGCAAAATTATTTCCTGTCTTACAGATAGAAGTTCATTTTCCCATTGGATAAAGCCAGTTTAACACAGATGGCTATCTCAATTACCAGGTGACTCTCAGATGAAATATAGATCACAAACGGAGTTGTCAAATTCTCCTCCTTGTGAACTTGTTTTCATCTTGAGAACTTATGCACATTATGCTGTTCATGCTCGGAAATGTAAATGGAAGAGGTTTTACTCTGTATTTGCAATTTTTTAGTGGATTACCTGTGGTGTGCATCCTTTCTCTACTATTTTTGTGAAGAGGATTTGGGGGTTGGGAAAAGATTTTTATTTTAATTATAGTTCCCCAGTGTATTTTATAATAATGAAGGTCCATGATAATCCTGTCACATGATACTTAAAAAATATGTGCTAATAATAACACTGAAAAAAGAACATTCTGTTTTCCTACACATACATGATGCTTTGTGGGACAGAGCAACAACTAGGTTTCATTTATAATGAAACTTGAACCATAGTGCTCTGAGGGACTTAGGGCAAGGGTACTGGTGTTGAAAGGGAGAGCTAGGCAGGAAGAATTGGAATGAAAGGGTCGTCTGCAGCTGTCTCCTTCCCAGGCATCATTTGAGACATGTGAACATCAATATGTTAGCTTCCTCTGAGAAAAATGGCAAATGGTTATGTCCTGTATGGTAGTTAGTATTAATTGTCAACTTGACAGAATTTAGAGTCATCTGGGAGATGGGCCTCTGGACATGCCTGTGGAGGATTATCTTGATTCCAGTAATTGAGGTTGGAAGACCCACCCACGGTGGGTGGCACCATTCCCTAGGCAGGGGTTCCTGAACTGTGAAGGAGTGGAGGAAGTGAGCTGAGCACAAGCAGGCAAACATTCACTGCTCTTTTCTGATTATGGATTTAATGTGACTAGCTCTCCCAAGCTCCTCCTGTCTCAATTTCCCTGACATAAGCTGTGAGGTAAAATAAATCCTTTCTCCCTAAAGTTGCTTTAGTCAGAGTGTTTTACCACAGCAACAGGAAAAGTAAGACACCCCAAAAGAGGCAAATTTTAAGCACAACAAAGGAGAATCTCCAAGCTATTTTATCTCATTTGCCAAGTGGTGGCCTCCATAATAGACTGAAAATAAACCAGCACTGGCCTCTCAGTGAGAGATAAAGATCCACATGCCACACAAGGAATCATAAGGTTAAAGATGAACCAACAATAGGGTCTTTACACTGGCCTATAGCTAACCAAACTAAAAGCTAAACCAACACCAGTGAATGAGATTGGTAATTATTCCTTCCTATCTTGGGCCATGTACAATAACTCTTAGCTGACCACAAGGCTAAATCAAATAATATTAAGGTTAAAAATTCCTCTTTTTTGCCCCAAAAGTATAAAGCACTGCTTTCACATCTAAGACCCATATTACCCTAAAAGAAGTGCATCCCTTTAAAAAAAAAAAAACTATAAGAAGCAAAGGCCCTAGGCACTAATTCTTTTCTCTTTTCCTAGTGTCCTCACCATGTCGCTATAAAAGTTGAACTCGAGTTAGAGAGATGGCTGAGTGGTTAAGAGCACTGACTGTTCTTGCAGAGGACCCAAGTTCAATTCCCAGCACCCACATGGTGGCTAACAACCGTCTGTAACTCCAGTTGCAGGGGAATACAATCCTCTCCTCTGACCTCCATGGGCATTGCACGACACGAGTGCACTTACACACATGCAGGCAATACAATCATACACAAAAAATAAAAATAATAATTTCTTTTAAAAAGTTGAACTCTGCCTCCCCTTCTTCTGTCCTTTCCCCATGATCTCTGCTCTAAAACTATGGGCAGAATCCCTCTTTGGCTCCAAGAAATTGTCGTCAAGTTCCTTTCTCTTTTGTCAATGCATATTTTAATTGAATTTTTGTACATATCATACAATATATCTTAATCATATTTAGACCCCCTAACCTGTCTGTACTTCCCCATTGCCCATAAGATTTCATGCATTTTTGTCATATATGTTAAGGCCTATGGAGTCAAGTTTGTACACCCAGGGGTATCTTGTATGTTCACCACTGGAGCGTAGTCAGCCTATCTTGCATCGTTCCCTTAAAGAGGATCTACTCTACCTCATCCAACAGTGATTAGCTGTCAATAATTCCTCAGCTAAGGTAGGAACCTCCTGCCCATTTCCCAAGCTCTGTGCTGTTTTTTGTCTGATTGCGTTTTCATGTTTTTGTGCATGCTGTTACCATTGCTGTAAGTCCATATGAGCAAGTTCTTGGAAGTCTGGAAGACTGTTTCTTTGTGGTCATGCACTACCCCTGGCTCTTACATTCTTTCCATTCCCTCATCTGTAATGATCCCTGAGTTTTGTGTAGGTAAGGTTTAACACAGGAGTCCTATCCAGGGACATGCACTCTGCAGTCTGTTATTCTCTACATTTTGGCCAGTTGTAGCCTTCTCTGTTCATTGCCCTCTGGTGAGAGTTGAGAGATGCATTAGTATTCTCTCTACCGCTTGTTCCACTACGTCCCATGAACCTTAGGTGTAGCGGTTCCATTGTAGATGTTTCACTTAGGTCTGGGCATCTCACAGACAAAAGTTCTTTTCTTTTTTAATTTCTTTGAGAAATTTATATAGAAGTATTTTATCCACATCATTTCTATCCCTCTGTCTTCCTCCCACACCCCCCTACTCTCTCTCAAATTCATGACTTCTTTCGTTATTATTACATATACATGTGTATATACACACACATATATACATATATATGTATATATATACATATATATATATATCCTACTGAGTCCATTTAGTGATGCCCATATGTACATGTGTTTAGGTCTGACCACTTGGGATTGGATAACCTATTAGGGAGCTCATTCCTAAAAGAAACTAATTCTCCCTATCTCAGCAATCATTGATTACCTAAAGCTCTTCATCTGGAGGTGGTGACCTTGGGAAATTTTCCCCATTCATGTCGGCATGTCAGCTGGTGTTGTCATTATGCAGGTCTTTTTTAGGCAACCATTGTGTGATTTCATGGGTACAGCTTCTATGTCATATCTGGAAGACACTATCTAGCAGCAGGCATCCTGATCCTCTGACTCTTACAATCTTTCTCCCCCCTCTTCCATGATGTTCCCTGAGCCTTAAGTGTAAGGATGTAATATTACATGTATCAAAGGGGGATTGAGCACCCTATGAT